CACACACACACACACACACGCAGAATTGACAATAAAGTTGACTTTGACTTTGACTTTGACTGAGTGCAGGTTAGAAGATGCTTTTAAAAGACACCAAATCACACTGAGCAGTTCCAGAGCTGCAGAGCTGTTACCCACTAAAGCCTGAAATCTACACTGAAGCGCAGTTTCACAGCTGCTAACAGGTTAAACAGCAAGAACAAATGTTTGAGGTCAGACGTGCAAACTTGAGAACGAACGGGATAAAAACCTGCAGTTCCTCCGGGAGTCCGCCCCCAAAGACGCTCATGTTAAAACTTTACAGCAGAAATAAACACGTTTACAGCCGGACACAAACTGTTTTAAACTTTTGTTACAGAATAAAGATTGGGAGGAAGTGAAAGAGAGGAATGAGCAGGAGAAGAGTGTCACTGTATGCAGATGACACCGTTTTACATATCGGAGAAGAGACTGGCCAACAGTTCGTCAGGAGACGGAGACAAACAACTGTTAGGGGCGTGGCCTCTGTGACTGACAAGTAGATGGCAAACAGGCGGAGGTCCCTGAGCTCTCTAACATGACGTAACCAATAACACGGCTGCTGTGAGGTTGCTGTACTAACACTGTCTGCAGTTAATTGGATGTCACTGAGCTCTGATTAACACTAAGCTGTGTCTGCTTGTTGCCCCTGTTGAGGCTACAAAGCCCTGAAAACAGTGGGAGGAGTCACGCATCCAGTTCTTGTCTAAAATCTCATTTCAGTGCTGCCAAAAAAAAGAAAGTTGCCAGGCATCTGTCTCCACCGCAGACAGTTCCTGTTCCCGTAATTACCAAGAATGAACTTATTACCTTTTTTTAACCTTAAGTGTTTCTGTATAAACTTCAGGCAAAAATATAGAAACAAATTTAAAGCAATAATCTTGAATTAATGGAAGATAATTCAAGCCAACAGTTGGGAAGGTGAGGAGGAGCCAGTGCTTTACCGGCTGCAGTCGGGACGTCCAGATGCTGACAGCAGCTCACGGCTTCGTGATGGAAAAACGCCTCCTCCCCATCCTCCCGCTCAGTGTGTCTTTGTAAAATCCTCCTGCTCGATTACTTCAACACTTCCTCCGATTCTTCCAAACATCCAAAAGCTTCAGCCCCGCTCGGCTGTGACAGGACGTCCGCGGGATTCAGCGCGCCGCGCCGACCCGGCCGTGTGAAAATATGTGTTTGTTTAAGAGAAAGAGACAGAATGAAAGTCTGCAGCGTGAGCAAAAGTGTCGCTGTGGTGTGAGCGCGCTCTGACCACACCCTCCACTCTGTCCAGCTGGACTGCTCAACAATAGAGGGATATCCTTGTTTTCACAACCAGCAGAGAGTGAGGGAGTGCGGGGAATGACATCTCTCTTTCCATCAGAGAGCGTCGATGACAGAAGAGAGAGGCGACAGGGAGCAGGAGGAGGCAGGAGGAAAGAGGTGATAGTGGGGAGGTCGAGGGAAGGACAGGAAGCACATGAGGTCATTTCTCTTCCTGACCACACACGGAAATTTGATTGTGTATCAGTTAACCCCACAACTCCCAAAGTCTGGGCCACCGCCCCCTGGTGGGCTGTGGAGGTGTTGCGGGTGGGCCCCCCGAGCCTAAATAAAGCGACGTAAATAACGAGGCTTTTTAATCCATAACCACCTGCTGCTCATCTGGGTCCAGATCGTGGTGGTGTGGGTCTAAACACCCTCTTATCAGACATCACCTCCAGCTAGAGGACAGATGCTGAACCCGAGCTCCTCACCACCGCTCGGCTGCACTTCCTCCTCCGTCCTGAAGATGACCCCGAGATAATGAAACCCCCCCTGATCCAGCTGCTTCACACTCAGCTGCGAACCTTAACGATGAGAACCACATCGTCTGCAAAAGCAGAGACGAGATCCTGACACCACGCCCCCACGTCCACACGGTGAGAACACGTGGCTCTGAGAAGTCTCCTAACAGCAAACTGTTCTTTTTGATGCAGATCAAAGGTCAAAGCTTTCCTTTACATCACAAACACACACAAAACGCACTCGTGTTACAGTCGCACTACAGCAGAGTCTAACCGGCCTCGGTGGCACTGCACCTCGTTATTACTACGTTATTACAAGTGTCTTGGTGAGCAGAGAAACTCATCCTCCGCCTCACGACACGACCGTGAGAATAAAGGAAAGGAAAGCGTTCGACACATCTGTCGCTGCAGATGTTTCTACCTGTGTGCACGCATACCTCTTTGACATGTGCGTCATCAAAGTACATCCACCGGCGGATCTTAGTCTGGAAGAAGAAAGTGGAGTAATGTTTCCCGTAGTAGCACACCATCCCAACCAGGTAGAGCTCGGACTGCCGAGCCTTCTCCTCGGTCACCCTGTAGAACAGCTGCAGAGACGGGAAGATGTCACCGCACGCCGCCGCCGCTCGCGTTTACCCTTCGCTTTGTTCAGACCGTGCTTTAATGCCGTGTCTTATTCTACTTACATCCCCGAGGCGCAGGCAGGTTCCCAGGGTGTGGATGACGTCCTCGGCCAGGTCCGAGTGATCCGAGTCCCACACCAGGCCGATGGTGATGATCTCCGGACTGTTGAGGAGGACGCGAGCCATCCGCAGCTGCTGACCGCACTGACTCTGAGGAAGAGGAGGAGGAAGAAAGGTGAGCCGTGACCTCTGAGTGCTTCACGCCAGTCAGTGTGTGTGCGTCGCAGGAGAGCTGCTGCTCACAGGACAGTTGCGCAGGTCCCCCATGCTGGCGTTTTGTAGCAGCTCCCCGAACATGCCCGGGGTCGCCTTCTCCCTCGACTCCAACATCTTCACTGCCTGGTTACTGAGGAGGAGGAGTGTTACTGTGTGTGAGTCAGTTCTTCATGATGAAGAAACTCCAGTCTTCAATAAATATGATCTGGTAAACGCTGGATTTACTTACCACAGGGAGGTGGTGGAGATGTAGTGGACCATCTGAATGAAGGGCAGAGGATCTGAGGAGGCTCCACAGCTGCTGCACACACACTGAACCAGACGGGAGGTGAACACGGAGTGTGTGTGTGT